TCAAATACCACCAATTACCTTCTCTATTTAGCCTCCCAAGTTTGGAACAGAGGCAATCTCTTATTATGTGATAAGTATCCTGCCTGGAATTTGCCTGAGGACAAAAACTAAGACGACTTGAAATTCTTGAAAACACACAAATGAGAATCAAAATTTTTCTGGCTTCATAGTGCTGGCATAACATGTTTTTTTCCAGAGATACAGACTTCAGTCCAAAGAATTTCGGAAGCGGACATAGAGGAGAGAAAGGTAGTTCCTAACCTACACAGTGAAGCTTTTCTTTTTCTACTGGTATATTTTGTTTCATAAAAAAGAGGGAGAAATAATGTGTAATGTTAATGTGAACTAGATCTGCCAGTGCTATTCACATGTGTCTATGTGTGTGCACGTGCATGTTGTTAAAGATTTTTGCTCTAAAAGACAAATTTGTGTGATTAACAAATACTACTGAGGGGACAGATTAAGGTAGCCTGGCTGTAAAAAACATAAGATATATAAATACAAAAAATTAATCATTGACTCACAGGTTTTTTTTAATGAAGACATTGAAATGTTGATATTACCATTAAAAACAACACCAAATGACTTTCCTTAAGAAAAGAAGTATGTTGGCCAGCAGGATTTGAAGAATGAGAACTGCAGCATACACCTGTAGCTACTCAGATAGATCTAGCAGGTCCTTCACAGCTTTATAGGTGCTACTACTTCATCAGTGGCTTGCACTCTCTGCAAAGCAGAGAGAATGAAACTCAGAAACTGTGGATTCTGTCTGAAGGCATGGGAAGGAGGGTGTTTTTTTTCTGCCTCCTAAACTGCTGTCTACTGCATGCCTGTTTTGTTCACAAGACTTCAGTTCCTCTTTGGTCGTGCTGTTCTGGTCCTGTCTCTCCCAGGATGCTTATTTTGGGTAACTCCATGTGCTGTTGCGCTGCTAAATGATTATCACTTTAGCCAATGCTACTGAAGTTTCAGCAGAGGGGAGAAGGCACAGTGGTTGGTTTAGGCCAGTGATTAGGAGGGGCAGTGGCAAGGAAAATCCTACTCAGACCTGGATCTGCTCAGCATGTGGCTCAAAGAGAATACATGGAGCGTCTGGGCCAGTCACAGTGGGGTGTTTTTCCTACTCTTTCCCACTTAGGCTCTCCTCAGCCTCCAATACAGTCAGCTGTTGAGACCCTCTGTCACTCCTGAAATACAAACGGGTTCTGGCCCTTTAAAATTTGATGTCATTAGGGAGCATTGAGCACCAGTGTCCACTAGAGCCTTATACTGCTGGGGGTCAGCTGTGCCAGGCCATCGAATCCACGCAGTCCAGTAAACCCGGTTGTGCCTGTCCTCCGCCTGGCTGGAGGCAGGGCCCCTCTAATGTTGGTCATAATACCCGGTAACGACAAATGGGTTAGTGGTGTGCGGGGGTTTCAGCCTCATCTTGATCACTCACTTCTTGTGAATACAAGTTAGAAATTCTTCTCATTAGATCAGGAGCAAAGCTGACCTTTCTGTTCCATTTGGGCACTTGATTACTGGAAACCAGAGCAGCATTTCTCCCAAGAACCCTGCTTTGTACTTGTTCTTCCTAACTCTATCCTGGCTGAAACCAGGACACACATAAGAACAAAGGGAAAATAAGAGCTATCATTTGCATGCCACCTCCATTCTCTTCAAAAAAGCACCTTTTGAAGACACCCCTCACATACCTACTCTGTACAGAGAAACTTGAAACTACCTCAGCTCTACACGCCAATCCCACATAGCTGGTCCCACAAGTTACTTATGGTCAAGTCTCATCAGTGGTTGTGCAGAAAAACATCATGCAAATGTAGGCTGTCAGTGACCAGTTCAGGCTGGTATTCCAAAGCCACATCTCTTTCTGACAAGCATGAGCAAAGTATTATCTCTCTTGCTCATTTAGAATATACCACTCACACACTATTATCACCATGGGGCACAGCAGTCTTTCAGAATGGTGTCAGATGTCAAAGAGCTTTCCATTGCACCCCACTGAAGAGCTATTAATGTAAACAAACAAATTCTAACATAAACACACTCTATTTGCACTCCAGGAACTCAGCCTGACCTGTGCCTCACTGAACTTGGCAGAAGTCTTTCCTTACCCAAGCCCCCCTTCAGAAACACCCTTCCTCTCATCTTGCCCACTTCCATTCTCTCTACAGCAGGAAATCTGTCATGTTTATTTCTGTCCTCCTGACAAGGGGGTCTCTGGCAACCTCAAACACAGCACAGCAATCCAGTGGACATTCTGAGGATGTGTAAGAGCTCAGTGGTGAGAGCAGATTTCAGAAAGCCCTGTGGGTCAGCCTACTTGTTTGCCACTACTGTGAGGGAAAGGTCCCACTTCTCTGGCTGCACGCGCATTCCTGCTACTCACCTCATGGAGGCATCCATGGGAAAATACAGTGGTACAGCTCTCTGCCGTTTTGCCAGTCAGCCGAGCTGGCTGAGGGAAGACTCTGAAAAGTGTCCAGGGTACTGGCATATGCAGGACTGTGTGGCTGAAAGCAAGAGCTATGGAGGGAGGATGGTCAGGACCACCTTCTCTTTTCAAGCACAAAGCGGGTGCTATAGGATCACATGTGTATGTGTACATAAACATTGTCACGCATGTATGTGAATTTGTACACTTATCTGCAGATGACAGATGCTGAATACACTCATGAAAGGATACATCTCACAGAATTCATCTAGCTCCGAAGTAAAGACATGCCTACAAAACATGATCCCTTTTACAAATAAAAACAATGAAAATTCTCCAAAGCAGATGAGCAGGTGCCTTGACTATTTTATCTACTAAGTTGAAAAGGAAAGGTTCTTACATGAAAAGCAGCAGGGAAAACTCCTTGCCTATTTTAAACCAACCACAATATATTGCCTTTCCCCCTCTTCTTGGGAAGACAAAAACTGTACAGATGGATAGATAAATTTAAGCATCCCTTTTTGGGCAAGTATAGGTAATAAATGCTCACTCTGCTTCTGAAGACCTTCCACCTACTGAAAAATAAAAGCTCAAATCAATTTAAAACCAAGTTTCCATTTACTTAAGCACAGAAATCATTTAGGGTAGCATTTAAACTTGTGCTTTTAGTCTCAGCAAACTGCAGAGCCATGTGTTATGCAAAACATATTGTAAAACTCCTTAAAAGTAGTTTATTGGTGTGCACCAGGTTTAATGTTTCCTCAGGTAAGTTAAACAGACATAGCCAGCTTTAAACCAGTTTTCGGAACTGGTATTCAGTTATCGCCACTTAAAAAGTTACTACATATAAGATGACTCACAGTTGTGCTTCTATAGCTCTACTTAGCATGCACATCTGCATTTTATTTACACTTATGAATCTGGTACTATGATTCAGCTGTTGCAGAACAGCACTCATCTGCATCTGAGCTTTGGCCAGTGCCAAGCCCCCTTCAAGCACAAACTAACTGGCTCAAATTCTCATACCCAACTAAAGTTATTTAATCTCTACTGGACCATGTGGCTGATGCCTGATAAAGGATAATTTCCAGAGTCAGTTATTACATATTTTTGCTACTGTAATTTCATCATTGCCATGTGACTTCTGTTTCTAACAGCAAGGTGACTTTACAGCAGTGTAACTGTATCCAGCATCCAAGAGAAGAGAAAGATTCCTTCCTTATCACACTCAAATTTTAAAGACAATTTCCTCTTTTTACAATAAATAGATGTGTGGGGTAGGAGAAACAACCAATCTAATTTCTAAGAGAAGAGGAGAAGCAAACCAGTGGCAGGGCCTCACATCACTTTTAACAGGAGTTTCCAGGGGAGAAGACAGAAGCAGTACAGAACTGAAAGCCAAAAGGTGGATTACAAACTACAATTTGAAGAGTGATGCAGAAAGGGAACAGTTTAGCAAATGTTTGCTTGATTCAGAGGATTTGCTGGCAGATGCAGTAACACTGGATACTTCCGGATGTGAGGGATGATAAAAATGAAACATGGTTTAGATACTTCTTCCTAATCTTTATTTTTTTAGGAAAAAAAAATAATCTTCTTCTGGTACTTAAATTTTACTACTTACTGAAGGATCTACTTGATCATTTGTTACTCCCCTCAGGACAATCTTCAACGGATGTTTCATGAAAGGTGCCAAGCAGAGCAGACTTTCCAAATAGTAGCCAATACTCCGACTGGGGCTGCAGTCATGTTCCAATGAGCCACCGTACAGAAGACCAGGCTGATAATACAAGGTAGTACCTACGGAAGATGTCAGGGGAGCAAACCAAATGAGACCACTGGCCATTACTACAGCTTAAAGACATTTGCAATGATATATAAAGGCAAACTGGAGACAGGGGAATTTGCACTTCCATCATGCTATTTCTACGTCTGCAGCCAATAAATGGGCCAATGCACATGAGTGTTTGTCTTACACATCATTTTCCTGCTCCTTTCCCCTTCTCCCCAAAAATCAAGGATCTCTTACCAATCCCTGAAATGCTGATACAAGCAATTATTGTCCTCCACAGCAGCTAACTCTTTACCAGACCATTAGGTCACGACTGTCTCAGCATATCGGGTGGTAGTTCATCTGCTTTACTGACCAACTGTAATCCTCAAAATTATTAAAAAAAAAAAGAGGACAAGAACCATGAGATTTTTATGTGGAATGCTTCTTGCTCAAACCAACCCCTTTTCTGACACAATGAGGCAAGCAAACCTTGCCTTCTACAAAAATCCGTTCTGGTTCAGAGGGACCTGCCCCTACTACAGAACCCTGCATACTGAATAAAATACTAATTTTAAAACTTGAGCACTATTGTTTCCTTAAGTCTTTGGTGGAGTGCTGATCAACTTGCATGCGATCAGTTACTACAAAACTTCTCAGGGTGGTTATTTCTGATCTTCTCAGTCAATGATAGTTGGGACACCTACCTACCTCTGTCAAGACAAAACTTCCGCTTCACTGCAGCGTATCAGCTGATAGAACCCAGAAGATCAGAACAGAGGAATAAAAGAAAACAGATCTCACCTGTTTGGTTTATTTCAATCCGAGAGCCGTTGGTCACTTTGTCAATCAGGCGAATAAAACTTGCTTCAAAATCTAAGGAGTAGAACAAAGAATTTTAAAGTTCCTCAAGTTTATTCCTGGAAAACTAAGAAACTTCAATGCCATACTTGTTCCCTTTCCTGCCTTTCACAACAGAAAAGCTGCCTTCACTCTTCAACTTGTTGTGGTATAATTCTACTCCATGTGAAAAGGCAATTCTACAAAAATAGAGATCTTAATTTGAGCCTCCATGCTCCACAACAGAGATGTGACAGTTGGACCAGTCACACTCCTCTCCCCAGCTCACAGTGAGTGACCAAGTTGACACTTCTAACCAGTGGCCTGAGGGATCACTTGACTCCATAATCAAACCTCTGAGAATTTTCATTTTGCTCAGGATGAAGCAAAACATACAAATCCTAGCAAACAGGAACCTGTGTATTTAAGCATGACAAGCTTCCCATTAGTCTCTGTTCAAGCCTTAGAAGAAGGTGGCACTCAGATGTGAAGTGCTGCTGCTGCACATCTTCCACAAGCACAATCAGGTATCTGCAGACTTTCAGATTTTCTATTTCCAAAACCATCACTGACATAATAAAGGCTAGAGAAACAAGTCTCCCCACTGCCTCTTTTCTTGCTTACTGTGTACACTATAGCAGTTATGTGGAACTAATTCCTCAGTTTCTCTTTTTGTGTGGACTCTCACCCAAAGACACAGGAAAGGACAAACATATTCAACAAAAAAAAAGGTATCCCAAGCTGGTACAGACTCAGTATCAAGGAAAATACGTGAACATACACAAGACTCCAAAACCCAGGTAGTTTTAAGGACCACCAACAACTGCATAACCGTTGATAGGTTACAGAACATCCTTAGCAATAACCCTGTCTTACTTCTTAAACTGTAAATCAGGTTTTTCCTCCTATATGAGCTTCTAGGCTGCAGTAAACATTTAAACCAAAGAGCTACCTGCAGAAATTACAGTTCGGTAATATTTCCATAACATGGTTGATGCCCCAGTCCCACAATGCTGGTTCTGCTTTCTGTTATGATAATTTCTAAACTTAAAGTTTGTATTACAGCACTTCCAGTGCAAGAGTGCACCTCTGCAAAACACACATTTCCTTCTTGAAAAACAAACCTGTGGAAGTTTCCATTGCAAGTGTTCCAGTCATGAAAAGCAGAGAGAACTGCATGTTGAATCACCCGCACAAATCAGGGTTTGTTGTTACTATTTTTCCACTGCGGTCACAGTTTACATTTTAACTCATGCTTGGAAAAGGCAATTCCAACACCTTTTAAGAAAACATGTCAAAGCCCACAAGCTTCATCATCACTAAACATGCCACAGTATTAATGGTTTGGGCCATGGTAAATGTTAAGTCAAGTACACAAGAATGTTCTGACAGTCTGGGCGGTGAATTTCAAGCTATAAACTGAAGCCTCCTCAGGAGGCAGAGTAGCATCTATGCCGGATCCATCCCTGTTCACACCTGGCCCAAAAAATAACAGAACACCACAACAACGTTTCTTCCTCAATCTCCTATTGTATTCCTACTTCAGTTAAATGAGGAAATTTGCTTTGGGGTGCCAAAGGTCCTGCGCAGGAAGGAAGAGGGTGCTCCTTAAGCAAGGTTCCCTCAAAAGACTCGGCAGGGTCGGAAGCTTTCAGAGATGAGAAGTAAACGCATTTCATGTCTACCTTTAAAGCTACAGGGAAAAAAAAAAAACAACAACAAACCAAACCACCAGATAAAAATCAGGGCATAAAAGCTAACCCATGAAAACTGTGGGAACTTGGGCTCCCACAAGGAGACAGGGAACACGCTGCCAGGCATTCAGCAGAAAGCGACGGCCGGCGAGCCAGCAAGTTCTGCAGGCTTTGGCTGGAAAGCCCGCTTTTACCGAGACACGACCAGCGCCGGGGATGCCAGCAACCCTCACGCACGACCAACCTACCAGGCGGCCTGGCTGGGCGCTTGGCGGATCCCTCCGCTCCCCCGGCGCTTCCTGTTCCCCCCACG